TGTTTTAAAAGTAAAGAACACCTTCAAAGTGAATATGTTCCTGTGAATATCATGACTAAATCTTGATATTTGTCCTATGGTAAGGTTATGTTAGGTGCGCTATAGAGGGTATTGCAACGCGGTAACCTGTTTAAAAAGCAAAATCATATTACAGCATAATTTAATGTACTCATCACTTGATGCCAAAATTCATGCCAAAGCGTTTAGCAGGCCTTAAGTACTTAATTTTCTTATTACTAAATTCAATATGTATTCGTACCACAATCTTCTGCACGGTTTCTGAATGTAACGGTAGTTAGTTTCTTACATCACTTGAGGAACTTTTAAAAAAAGACTGGTACAAATCCCAATTTGCAAAATGTAAGTTGAAGGCACTCATTGATCTTCAAAACCATCGAGAAAAAGACTTTTCATGGCCACAAATTTCAACTTTTACTGAGAAAGTGTGCCATTGAGATGATAAAAATGGTTAGCTCATACAATTCAGACTTCTACCTCAAGACCCAACACCCTGCCGCCGTTTGAAACAACAACGAGATTCTCAGAAAGCACGCCGGAAGCGTATACTGTTCCTCAGATTCCTGAACAGTTCACAGACACTCAACCACCCGAAGAAGGACGTTATACTACATCGAAGACTTTCCCCTGGTCTCCCACATATAAGACTGTACCTCCATCAACGCCAAGAGTTGAAACCGCAAGAACAACAACAGTATCTACACCTCCGTGGACGCCACCTTCAGAAGCGCCAAGTACACCGTACACAAGGGCTCCTGAGACTACAACGACAACCTCATTTACTCCATTTGAGACCACAACAACTACCGTAGCAACAACTACTAGGCCAACAACTCAACGGAGTACAGAACAACCGACATTGCCCTGGTGGGCTACGGAACTCACGCCTCCTCCAAAGCCAACAACTCGATTTGAATACATTACTGAGGAGACGGAAGCGACAACTACAGAATACTTTAGAATCACGTAGGTGTAGGTCCCTCTCAGGTAGACAAAGTCCATGATTTAATTCTATGTTTATTTAGGACACCATCAGGGCCACCAGCAGCACCCACGACCTCACCCACTCCCGTTCCAACATACACTTCCACATTCTCAGAAACAACATCTCAACGTCAAGGCACAACCTCTAAAACAGAAGTTATGAATAGGGTAAGAGGTAAGTTAGTTCTAAGAATGCTCATCAACCTGCTACTAAATTGTTTTATGACTATTGTTTTAGGAAAAGTCCATGTGATCTGCAAAGAGGAGGGAATTGAATTCGGCGTTACCACATTGTTCCCTTTCACTGGACAAATATTCGCAAATGATCGCAAACGAGTGCCGAGGTGACTGCATTTTATCTTTGATTGCCTCTAATGTTTTGAAGAGACCGGTT